AAATACTTTCGAATTAAAAATATATAATACGCATTATATACATACAAGTAGTATATTCTACGGTTCATGACATGCTGCCCGACCAAATGCTAAGCCTTCATATTTATACTTTATTCAAATTCACGTTGTATGATGATGAATTAAAATCTCTTCTGAATTAAATTGGTCGTCCTGAAAAGGACGGTTGGTTTTATATACAGTATTGTTTTTATTTATTAAAGGTTGCCGCCAATTTAAGCCTTCTTTTCGGTCTTTTTAGGTAAAAGCACCGCCTGGATGTTAGGTAGAACACCACCCTGAGCAATGGTTACGCCCGAGAGGAGCTTGTTTAACTCCTCGTCATTACGAATAGCCAGTTGCAGGTGACGTGGAATTATGCGCGTCTTTTTATTATCGCGTGCTGCATTGCCAGCCAACTCCAGAACTTCAGCGGCTAAATATTCCATAACAGCAGCCAGGTAAACAGGAGCGCCGGCACCAACACGTTCAGCATAGTTACCCTTGCGAAGCAGGCGGTGGATACGGCCAACTGGGAATTGAAGGCCAGCTCGATTCGAACGCGACTTTGCCTTTCCCTTTACTTTACCACCTTTACCACGACCAGACATTTTCTATTTTTTTTTTTTTTTATTTCACAAATACACTTCTCACTGGCTCACTGGCTCACACACAAATGTTGATGTCCGACCAAGTGTTAGGCCTTTATATTTATACTTTTTTAAGCATCATATACGCTCTGCTAAGGGTTGGACGGCTTCTTATAAGTTAAACCTGAAGGCGATGTTAAACAAAAATATACAAATATGTAGCAATTCAGTGGTAGAAAAATATTGCTAAAGCAACTGTGAAGTGTTGTGTTATTTTAACTCAAGTGAATTAAATTAATCTGAAGTGAAAAATGCCGCCAAAGACCAGTGGAAAGGCAGCGAAAAAGGCTGGTAAAGCCCAGAAAAATATAACCAAGAACGACAAGAAGAAGAAGCGCAAGAGGAAGGAGAGTTATGCCATCTACATATACAAAGTTCTGAAGCAGGTTCATCCTGATACAGGCATTTCATCGAAGGCAATGAGCATCATGAACAGTTTTGTGAATGACATTTTCGAGCGCATTGCTGCTGAAGCTTCCCGTTTGGCCCACTATAATAAACGATCGACAATAACGAGTCGCGAAATCCAAACGGCAGTCCGCCTACTTCTGCCCGGTGAATTGGCTAAGCACGCCGTAAGTGAAGGCACCAAAGCCGTTACCAAGTACACCAGCTCAAAGTAAATGTCTGATCGCCCGCTTCATAGCAGCAACAACGTTCCAAAAGGCCCTTTTCAGGGCCATCAAATTTTTCATAAGCAGAGTTAATAATTTTCATACATTTCTTTTAAATAAAATTTACATGGCACCCCTTTACTGTGATAAAAAACAAAATCTATTATAATGGGCGAACATATATATTAATATAACTATTTTGGTCAATATTTATAAACAAACTATTTTTACAAATCATATCGTTCACCTATATGATATGCAGTTCTTATTGCTTGAAATCGACTGAAACAAAACAATTTTTAGTCACCCATTTTTATGAGAATCGTGGAGGAGGACCGGACCGTATACAATTCCATTGTATTTGCATCAGCTAAGTTTATCGTAATTTGCTTCGAAAAATGATTAAATTATTTATTAATTTTATTAATATACGTTTTTTTTTAAACTTTTGTGCTCAAAGTGAAACATTTTTCAATTCTCATTATTTTTGTTACAAAATTAACTAACAAATTATGGTCTAAAACCCTTTGTAACAGTTTTAAACAAAAATTGTTAAATTTTTCATACATATACTTGTACACCTAGAAGTAATAACAAATATATTAACAAAATTAGAAAAAGATAAGATTATTTGAAACCATTTAAATCACATTTGAAAATTATTTTTTCTCTTTCTTAGTTGTTTGTAGCCCTGAAAAGGGCTTTGTTTCAAATGAATTTTTATATTTGCATATACAAAATTTCACATATGCATTCATTTCTTGACTACTGCTGTCTTTGCCTTTTTGGCGGAAGCTGCAGCCTTTGGTTTTTTCGGTGCCGATGCTGTCTTCTTTGGCTTGGCACTAGTAGTAGTAGTTTTGGCCTTTGGAGTTTTTGGTTTTACAGCACTCGATTTAGGCTTCGATGTAGTTGATTTTGCCTTAACTGTACCACTTTTCTTTGCGTCTTTTGCCTTTGCCTTCTCCTTTGTCTTTTTCTCGGCAGTCTTTTTAGTGGCAACAGATTTTTTAACTTTAGATTTCTTGTCACCGGCTGCAGAGGCCTTCTTGGCGACGCCGCTCGACTTCTTTTTAGCTGCTCCAGATGGTGCAACTTTTTTCTTACTTTTCTCGACGGAACTGACTTTTGGCTTTGGCTCTTTTTTAGCGGCCGCAGATAATTTAAACGAACCAGATGCGCCTTTGCCTTTTGTTTGGATGAGTTTTCCATTTGCAACAGCTGACTTCAAATATTTCTTAATGAACGGGGCCAATTTCTGGGCATCGCATTTATATGTGGCACTAATGTACTTTTTAATTGCCAAAAGTGATGACCCACCGCGCTCCTTCAAATTCTTGATTGACGCGTCGACCATTTGCTGGGTTGGCGGATGTGATGGTGGAGCTGTAGCTTTTTTCGATTTGGCGGCAGTTGCCTTCTTGACAGTGACCTTTTTCTCCGCTTGTGCAATGGCAATCGGAGAGGCGGCCGATGTAACAGCAACGATAGAATCAGACATTTCTTTTAACTTCACTTTCACACTTGTAAAATTATAAAACGGTTTGCTTTCAGAAATTTTACGAATTTTTAGTCACCCATTTTTATGAGAATCGTGGAGGAGGGCGGTATACAAATGAATGTGGCATTGGTCGTTCTCGACAGCTAAGTTTATGGCAATCTAAAAGGTAATTTGCTTCGAAAAATGATTAGATGTAAAAAAAATCATTTGAAATGCAATTTAATAATATCTATAAGCTTGACAGAGTTTAATAAACTTAAGTTTGTGTTGATACTTTTGTGAGTTCATTTTTAAATGGCACTCAAAGTGAAACATTATTCTTTAATGGTCAATAATTTTGCTTACAAAATGAATTTATTATAAGAAATTATGCTATAAAATCATTTGTAACGGGTTTTAAACAAAATTTAAACAATTTTGTATACAAATCTAAACGAATGATTTATTAAAATGCAAAAAAATATATTTATTGAATGCTTTCAAAGTAGCCCTACCTTGCATAAAACGACCATCGGAGTAGCATATAGCATTCAAACAAATTACCAAATATAGTTTAAGAATATAGTTTTAAAAGTCCAATTTATTTTAGCATTCATTCAAAAGAAGTTAAACTTGCTTTAATAATTTGTTAAGTATTTAAGATTTTATATTATCATTTCTGGACCCATTATAAGTTGTTAACGAATTTCCAAGGAGTCATAAAAAAATGGAGTTTGATAACTTACAAGTACTAACAAATGTATTAACAAAACTAGAAAGAGTTAGTTATTAAATAAATAATAAATTCCGAGTTTTAAACGTGTTTTGTTATGTTATAAGTAGTTTCGCATGTTTGTCTAAATAGCAGGAAAATCCATTGCTCTATTTAATTCAAGTGCTTTATTTTGTATTTTGAAAAATATAACAATATACAAGTATATATTTAAGTAAAAAATTTATTAAATAAATAACAAAATTGACATTTTTTTGGGAAAATCATATTTTATTTATTTGTTTGAATACCAGTAATAACCATTAAATCTTATACTATATAACGTGTGTTTCGCATTCAGAAAAAACAATCGATTTTCTTGTCTAAATAGCAGGACAATCCATTGCTCTATTTAATACAAGTGGTTTATTTTGTATTTTGAAAAATATAACAATATACAAGTATTTATTTAAGTAAAAAATGTATTAAATAAATAACAAATTTTACATTTTTTTGGGAAAATCTTATTTTATTTATTTGTTTGAATACCAGTAACAACCATTAAATCGTATATAACGTGTGTTTAGTATTCAGAAAAAACAATCGATTTTCTCAATGTATATTTCTTTTAATTGAGAAAATGATAATCGCAATAGCATGATTTAATTTACTTGATGAATGAAAAATACATATACAAGTATATGACTTCATATTTATATATTTGCATTGTTATGTGAAATGCCAGGCATTTGTGTAAATAATGGAATAAATGTAAATAATCATAATATAAAACGAAAAATGCTGTATACCAAGCAATAGTTAATCTCTTTGTTAGCTATTTGTGGTCCTGAAAAGGACCGATTATTGATTTTATAATTTGGAAAATGAAGCGCTGAAATTTCAACTTATGCACGTTCACCACGAATACGTCTGGCCAATTGAATGTCCTTGGGCATGATTGTAACACGCTTGGCATGAATTGCGCACAAATTTGTATCTTCAAAAAGACCAACCAGATAGGCTTCGCTAGCTTCCTGTAATGCCATTACCGCTGAACTTTGGAATCGCAAATCAGTTTTAAAGTCCTGAGCTATCTCACGAACCAAACGCTGGAATGGCAGTTTGCGAATCAATAGCTCAGTGCTTTTCTGGTAGCGGCGGATCTCACGAAGTGCAACTGTACCGGGGCGATAACGATGTGGCTTTTTTACACCACCGGTGGCTGGTGCACTTTTACGAGCAGCTTTGGTAGCCAGCTGCTTGCGAGGCGCTTTGCCACCGGTCGATTTTCGGGCAGTTTGCTTGGTGCGAGCCATTATACAAGTATTTATTCCGTACTAATCTACTACACTGTATACACTGTCACTGATGAAAACACAATATTCGTATTGCTTGCTTTGCGCCTTCTTTATATAGAAATTTGGCCGCACAATGCGATTGGTGGTTGTTTGAACGAGATGTGCGAAAGAGAGATAGGAAGATTATCCGACTCGCTCGTGTTTTCGTGTTATTTTTGTATAAATACGAGCGTATGTGGCCGCAACAGCGTTAGTTTCGTTGTGAATTTTGTGCAGTTAAAGTAAATTAGTGAAAAATGACTGGTCGTGGTAAAGGTGGCAAAGGCTTGGGCAAGGGTGGCGCAAAACGTCATCGCAAAGTATTGCGTGATAACATTCAGGGTATCACAAAGCCAGCTATCCGTCGTTTGGCTCGACGTGGCGGTGTAAAACGCATCTCTGGCTTAATTTATGAAGAGACCCGTGGTGTGCTCAAGGTGTTTTTGGAGAATGTTATTCGTGATGCTGTCACCTATACGGAACATGCCAAAAGGAAAACAGTCACAGCTATGGATGTTGTATATGCATTAAAAAGACAAGGCCGCACCCTTTACGGTTTCGGCGGTTAAGAAGTTACATTTGCCCAAATGTGCAAATAAAGAAAACAATCGGTCCTTTTCAGGACCACAACATATATTTTTAAAAGAGAAAAATATTCAAATCATACTTTTATTTTACAAAAAGCTGTACAATCGATACTCTTCATTTATATTTTCATAATATATTGAACCTTTTCAGGACCACAACATATTTTTTTAAAAGAGAAAAATATTCAACTCATACTTTTATTTTACATACGCATATTTAAAAAAACAAACATATTGTACAGCTTACATTCCATCCATTTATATTTTCATAATTTAGGAGTAAAATATGGCAAACGTTGGCAGTGTTAAAAATTCGAGTATAAATACTTGCACTCAAGTAATTATTATACGTATTGACCAAATTCAAAAGGGATAAAAAATACTTTCGAATTAAAAATATATAATACGCATTATATACATACAAGTAGTATATTCTACGGTTCATGACATGCTGCCCGACCAAATGCTAAGCCTTCATATTTATACTTTATTCAAATTCACGTTGTATGATGATGAATTAAAATCTCTTCTGAATTAAATTGGTCGTCCTGAAAAGGACGGTTGGTTTTATATACAGTATTGTTTTTATTTATTAAAGGTTGCCGCCAATTTAAGCCTTCTTTTCGGTCTTTTTAGGTAAAAGCACCGCCTGGATGTTAGGTAGAACACCACCCTGAGCAATGGTTACGCCCGAGAGGAGCTTGTTTAACTCCTCGTCATTACGAATAGCCAGTTGCAGGTGACGTGGAATTATGCGCGTCTTTTTATTATCGCGTGCTGCATTGCCAGCCAACTCCAGAACTTCAGCGGCTAAATATTCCATAACAGCAGCCAGGTAAACAGGAGCGCCGGCACCAACACGTTCAGCATAGTTACCCTTGCGAAGCAGGCGGTGGATACGGCCAACTGGGAATTGAAGGCCAGCTCGATTCGAACGCGACTTTGCCTTTCCCTTTACTTTACCACCTTTACCACGACCAGACATTTTCTATTTTTTTTTTTTTTTATTTCACAAATACACTTCTCACTGGCTCACTGGCTCACACACAAATGTTGATGTCCGACCAAGTGTTAGGCCTTTATATTTATACTTTTTTAAGCATCATATACGCTCTGCTAAGGGTTGGACGGCTTCTTATAAGTTAAACCTGAAGGCGATGTTAAACAAAAATATACAAATATGTAGCAATTCAGTGGTAGAAAAATATTGCTAAAGCAACTGTGAAGTGTTGTGTTATTTTAACTCAAGTGAATTAAATTAATCTGAAGTGAAAAATGCCGCCAAAGACCAGTGGAAAGGCAGCGAAAAAGGCTGGTAAAGCCCAGAAAAATATAACCAAGAACGACAAGAAGAAGAAGCGCAAGAGGAAGGAGAGTTATGCCATCTACATATACAAAGTTCTGAAGCAGGTTCATCCTGATACAGGCATTTCATCGAAGGCAATGAGCATCATGAACAGTTTTGTGAATGACATTTTCGAGCGCATTGCTGCTGAAGCTTCCCGTTTGGCCCACTATAATAAACGATCGACAATAACGAGTCGCGAAATCCAAACGGCAGTCCGCCTACTTCTGCCCGGTGAATTGGCTAAGCACGCCGTAAGTGAAGGCACCAAAGCCGTTACCAAGTACACCAGCTCAAAGTAAATGTCTGATCGCCCGCTTCATAGCAGCAACAACGTTCCAAAAGGCCCTTTTCAGGGCCATCAAATTTTTCATAAGCAGAGTTAATAATTTTCATACATTTCTTTTAAATAAAATTTACATGGCACCCCTTTACTGTGATAAAAAACAAAATCTATTATAATGGGCGAACATATATATTAATATAACTATTTTGGTCAATATTTATAAACAAACTATTTTTACAAATCATATCGTTCACCTATATGATATGCAGTTCTTATTGCTTGAAATCGACTGAAACAAAACAATTTTTAGTCACCCATTTTTATGAGAATCGTGGAGGAGGACCGGACCGTATACAATTCCATTGTATTTGCATCAGCTAAGTTTATCGTAATTTGCTTCGAAAAATGATTAAATTATTTATTAATTTTATTAATATACGTTTTTTTTTTAAACTTTTGTGCTCAAAGTGAAACATTTTTCAATTCTCATTATTTTTGTTACAAAATTAACTAACAAATTATGGTCTAAAACCCTTTGTAACAGTTTTAAACAAAAATTGTTAAATTTTTCATACATATACTTGTACACCTAGAAGTAATAACAAATATATTAACAAAATTAGAAAAAGATAAGATTATTTGAAACCATTTAAATCACATTTGAAAATTATTTTTTCTCTTTCTTAGTTGTTTGTAGCCCTGAAAAGGGCTTTGTTTCAAATGAATTTTTATATTTGCATATACAAAATTTCACATATGCATTCATTTCTTGACTACTGCTGTCTTTGCCTTTTTGGCGGAAGCTGCAGCCTTTGGTTTTTTCGGTGCCGATGCTGTCTTCTTTGGCTTGGCACTAGTAGTAGTAGTTTTGGCCTTTGGAGTTTTTGGTTTTACAGCACTCGATTTAGGCTTCGATGTAGTTGATTTTGCCTTAACTGTACCACTTTTCTTTGCGTCTTTTGCCTTTGCCTTCTCCTTTGTCTTTTTCTCGGCAGTCTTTTTAGTGGCAACAGATTTTTTAACTTTAGATTTCTTGTCACCGGCTGCAGAGGCCTTCTTGGCGACGCCGCTCGACTTCTTTTTAGCTGCTCCAGATGGTGCAACTTTTTTCTTACTTTTCTCGACGGAACTGACTTTTGGCTTTGGCTCTTTTTTAGCGGCCGCAGATAATTTAAACGAACCAGATGCGCCTTTGCCTTTTGTTTGGATGAGTTTTCCATTTGCAACAGCTGACTTCAAATATTTCTTAATGAACGGGGCCAATTTCTGGGCATCGCATTTATATGTGGCACTAATGTACTTTTTAATTGCCAAAAGTGATGACCCACCGCGCTCCTTCAAATTCTTGATTGACGCGTCGACCATTTGCTGGGTTGGCGGATGTGATGGTGGAGCTGTAGCTTTTTTCGATTTGGCGGCAGTTGCCTTCTTGACAGTGACCTTTTTCTCCGCTTGTGCAATGGCAATCGGAGAGGCGGCCGATGTAACAGCAACGATAGAATCAGACATTTCTTTTAACTTCACTTTCACACTTGTAAAATTATAAAACGGTTTGCTTTCAGAAATTTTACGAATTTTTAGTCACCCATTTTTATGAGAATCGTGGAGGAGGGCGGTATACAAATGAATGTGGCATTGGTCGTTCTCGACAGCTAAGTTTATGGCAATCTAAAAGGTAATTTGCTTCGAAAAATGATTAGATGTAAAAAAAATCATTTGAAATGCAATTTAATAATATCTATAAGCTTGACAGAGTTTAATAAACTTAAGTTTGTGTTGATACTTTTGTGAGTTCATTTTTAAATGGCACTCAAAGTGAAACATTATTCTTTAATGGTCAATAATTTTGCTTACAAAATGAATTTATTATAAGAAATTATGCTATAAAATCATTTGTAACGGGTTTTAAACAAAATTTAAACAATTTTGTATACAAATCTAAACGAATGATTTATTAAAATGCAAAAAAATATATTTATTGAATGCTTTCAAAGTAGCCCTACCTTGCATAAAACGACCATCGGAGTAGCATATAGCATTCAAACAAATTACCAAATATAGTTTAAGAATATAGTTTTAAAAGTCCAATTTATTTTAGCATTCATTCAAAAGAAGTTAAACTTGCTTTAATAATTTGTTAAGTATTTAAGATTTTATATTATCATTTCTGGACCCATTATAAGTTGTTAACGAATTTCCAAGGAGTCATAAAAAAATGGAGTTTGATAACTTACAAGTACTAACAAATGTATTAACAAAACTAGAAAGAGTTAGTTATTAAATAAATAATAAATTCCGAGTTTTAAACGTGTTTTGTTATGTTATAAGTAGTTTCGCATGTTTGTCTAAATAGCAGGAAAATCCATTGCTCTATTTAATTCAAGTGCTTTATTTTGTATTTTGAAAAATATAACAATATACAAGTATATATTTAAGTAAAAAATTTATTAAATAAATAACAAAATTGACATTTTTTTGGGAAAATCATATTTTATTTATTTGTTTGAATACCAGTAATAACCATTAAATCTTATACTATATAACGTGTGTTTCGCATTCAGAAAAAACAATCGATTTTCTTGTCTAAATAGCAGGACAATCCATTGCTCTATTTAATACAAGTGGTTTATTTTGTATTTTGAAAAATATAACAATATACAAGTATTTATTTAAGTAAAAAATGTATTAAATAAATAACAAATTTTACATTTTTTTGGGAAAATCTTATTTTATTTATTTGTTTGAATACCAGTAACAACCATTAAATCGTATATAACGTGTGTTTAGTATTCAGAAAAAACAATCGATTTTCTCAATGTATATTTCTTTTAATTGAGAAAATGATAATCGCAATAGCATGATTTAATTTACTTGATGAATGAAAAATACATATACAAGTATATGACTTCATATTTATATATTTGCATTGTTATGTGAAATGCCAGGCATTTGTGTAAATAATGGAATAAATGTAAATAATCATAATATAAAACGAAAAATGCTGTATACCAAGCAATAGTTAATCTCTTTGTTAGCTATTTGTGGTCCTGAAAAGGACCGATTATTGATTTTATAATTTGGAAAATGAAGCGCTGAAATTTCAACTTATGCACGTTCACCACGAATACGTCTGGCCAATTGAATGTCCTTGGGCATGATTGTAACACGCTTGGCATGAATTGCGCACAAATTTGTATCTTCAAAAAGACCAACCAGATAGGCTTCGCTAGCTTCCTGTAATGCCATTACCGCTGAACTTTGGAATCGCAAATCAGTTTTAAAGTCCTGAGCTATCTCACGAACCAAACGCTGGAATGGCAGTTTGCGAATCAATAGCTCAGTGCTTTTCTGGTAGCGGCGGATCTCACGAAGTGCAACTGTACCGGGGCGATAACGATGTGGCTTTTTTACACCACCGGTGGCTGGTGCACTTTTACGAGCAGCTTTGGTAGCCAGCTGCTTGCGAGGCGCTTTGCCACCGGTCGATTTTCGGGCAGTTTGCTTGGTGCGAGCCATTATACAAGTATTTATTCCGTACTAATCTACTACACTGTATACACTGTCACTGATGAAAACACAATATTCGTATTGCTTGCTTTGCGCCTTCTTTATATAGAAATTTGGCCGCACAATGCGATTGGTGGTTGTTTGAACGAGATGTGCGAAAGAGAGATAGGAAGATTATCCGACTCGCTCGTGTTTTCGTGTTATTTTTGTATAAATACGAGCGTATGTGGCCGCAACAGCGTTAGTTTCGTTGTGAATTTTGTGCAGTTAAAGTAAATTAGTGAAAAATGACTGGTCGTGGTAAAGGTGGCAAAGGCTTGGGCAAGGGTGGCGCAAAACGTCATCGCAAAGTATTGCGTGATAACATTCAGGGTATCACAAAGCCAGCTATCCGTCGTTTGGCTCGACGTGGCGGTGTAAAACGCATCTCTGGCTTAATTTATGAAGAGACCCGTGGTGTGCTCAAGGTGTTTTTGGAGAATGTTATTCGTGATGCTGTCACCTATACGGAACATGCCAAAAGGAAAACAGTCACAGCTATGGATGTTGTATATGCATTAAAAAGACAAGGCCGCACCCTTTACGGTTTCGGCGGTTAAGAAGTTACATTTGCCCAAATGTGCAAATAAAGAAAACAATCGGTCCTTTTCAGGACCACAACATATATTTTTAAAAGAGAAAAATATTCAAATCATACTTTTATTTTACAAAAAGCTGTACAATCGATACTCTTCATTTATATTTTCATAATATATTGAACCTTTTCAGGACCACAACATATTTTTTTAAAAGAGAAAAATATTCAACTCATACTTTTATTTTACATACGCATATTTAAAAAAACAAACATATTGTACAGCTTACATTCCATCCATTTATATTTTCATAATTTAGGAGTAAAATATGGCAAACGTTGGCAGTGTTAAAAATTCGAGTATAAATACTTGCACTCAAGTAATTATTATACGTATTGACCAAATTCAAAAGGGATAAAAAATACTTTCGAATTAAAAATATATAATACGCATTATATACATACAAGTAGTATATTCTACGGTTCATGACATGCTGCCCGACCAAATGCTAAGCCTTCATATTTATACTTTATTCAAATTCACGTTGTATGATGATGAATTAAAATCTCTTCTGAATTAAATTGGTCGTCCTGAAAAGGACGGTTGGTTTTATATACAGTATTGTTTTTATTTATTAAAGGTTGCCGCCAATTTAAGCCTTCTTTTCGGTCTTTTTAGGTAAAAGCACCGCCTGGATGTTAGGTAGAACACCACCCTGAGCAATGGTTACGCCCGAGAGGAGCTTGTTTAACTCCTCGTCATTACGAATAGCCAGTTGCAGGTGACGTGGAATTATGCGCGTCTTTTTATTATCGCGTGCTGCATTGCCAGCCAACTCCAGAACTTCAGCGGCTAAATATTCCATAACAGCAGCCAGGTAAACAGGAGCGCCGGCACCAACACGTTCAGCATAGTTACCCTTGCGAAGCAGGCGGTGGATACGGCCAACTGGGAATTGAAGGCCAGCTCGATTCGAACGCGACTTTGCCTTTCCCTTTACTTTACCACCTTTACCACGACCAGACATTTTCTATTTTTTTTTTTTTTTATTTCACAAATACACTTCTCACTGGCTCACTGGCTCACACACAAATGTTGATGTCCGACCAAGTGTTAGGCCTTTATATTTATACTTTTTTAAGCATCATATACGCTCTGCTAAGGGTTGGACGGCTTCTTATAAGTTAAACCTGAAGGCGATGTTAAACAAAAATATACAAATATGTAGCAATTCAGTGGTAGAAAAATATTGCTAAAGCAACTGTGAAGTGTTGTGTTATTTTAACTCAAGTGAATTAAATTAATCTGAAGTGAAAAATGCCGCCAAAGACCAGTGGAAAGGCAGCGAAAAAGGCTGGTAAAGCCCAGAAAAATATAACCAAGAACGACAAGAAGAAGAAGCGCAAGAGGAAGGAGAGTTATGCCATCTACATATACAAAGTTCTGAAGCAGGTTCATCCTGATACAGGCATTTCATCGAAGGCAATGAGCATCATGAACAGTTTTGTGAATGACATTTTCGAGCGCATTGCTGCTGAAGCTTCCCGTTTGGCCCACTATAATAAACGATCGACAATAACGAGTCGCGAAATCCAAACGGCAGTCCGCCTACTTCTGCCCGGTGAATTGGCTAAGCACGCCGTAAGTGAAGGCACCAAAGCCGTTACCAAGTACACCAGCTCAAAGTAAATGTCTGATCGCCCGCTTCATAGCAGCAACAACGTTCCAAAAGGCCCTTTTCAGGGCCATCAAATTTTTCATAAGCAGAGTTAATAATTTTCATACATTTCTTTTAAATAAAATTTACATGGCACCCCTTTACTGTGATAAAAAACAAAATCTATTATAATGGGCGAACATATATATTAATATAACTATTTTGGTCAATATTTATAAACAAACTATTTTTACAAATCATATCGTTCACCTATATGATATGCAGTTCTTATTGCTTGAAATCGACTGAAACAAAACAATTTTTAGTCACCCATTTTTATGAGAATCGTGGAGGAGGACCGGACCGTATACAATTCCATTGTATTTGCATCAGCTAAGTTTATCGTAATTTGCTTCGAAAAATGATTAAATTATTTATTAATTTTATTAATATACGTTTTTTTTTTAAACTTTTGTGCTCAAAGTGAAACATTTTTCAATTCTCATTATTTTTGTTACAAAATTAACTAACAAATTATGGTCTAAAACCCTTTGTAACAGTTTTAAACAAAAATTGTTAAATTTTTCATACATATACTTGTACACCTAGAAGTAATAACAAATATATTAACAAAATTAGAAAAAGATAAGATTATTTGAAACCATTTAAATCACATTTGAAAATTATTTTTTCTCTTTCTTAGTTGTTTGTAGCCCTGAAAAGGGCTTTGTTTCAAATGAATTTTTATATTTGCATATACAAAATTTCACATATGCATTCATTTCTTGACTACTGCTGTCTTTGCCTTTTTGGCGGAAGCTGCAGCCTTTGGTTTTTTCGGTGCCGATGCTGTCTTCTTTGGCTTGGCACTAGTAGTAGTAGTTTTGGCCTTTGGAGTTTTTGGTTTTACAGCACTCGATTTAGGCTTCGATGTAGTTGATTTTGCCTTAACTGTACCACTTTTCTTTGCGTCTTTTGCCTTTGCCTTCTCCTTTGTCTTTTTCTCGGCAGTCTTTTTAGTGGCAACAGATTTTTTAACTTTAGATTTCTTGTCACCGGCTGCAGAGGCCTTCTTGGCGACGCCGCTCGACTTCTTTTTAGCTGCTCCAGATGGTGCAACTTTTTTCTTACTTTTCTCGACGGAACTGACTTTTGGCTTTGGCTCTTTTTTAGCGGCCGCAGATAATTTAAACGAACCAGATGCGCCTTTGCCTTTTGTTTGGATGAGTTTTCCATTTGCAACAGCTGACTTCAAATATTTCTTAATGAACGGGGCCAATTTCTGGGCATCGCATTTATATGTGGCACTAATGTACTTTTTAATTGCCAAAAGTGATGACCCACCGCGCTCCTTCAAATTCTTGATTGACGCGTCGACCATTTGCTGGGTTGGCGGATGTGATGGTGGAGCTGTAGCTTTTTTCGATTTGGCGGCAGTTGCCTTCTTGACAGTGACCTTTTTCTCCGCTTGTGCAATGGCAATCGGAGAGGCGGCCGATGTAACAGCAACGATAGAATCAGACATTTCTTTTAACTTCACTTTCACACTTGTAAAATTATAAAACGGTTTGCTTTCAGAAATTTTACGAATTTTTAGTCACCCATTTTTATGAGAATCGTGGAGGAGGGCGGTATACAAATGAATGTGGCATTGGTCGTTCTCGACAGCTAAGTTTATGGCAATCTAAAAGGTAATTTGCTTCGAAAAATGATTAGATGTAAAAAAAATCATTTGAAATGCAATTTAATAATATCTATAAGCTTGACAGAGTTTAATAAACTTAAGTTTGTGTTGATACTTTTGTGAGTTCATTTTTAAATGGCACTCAAAGTGAAACATTATTCTTTAATGGTCAATAATTTTGCTTACAAAATGAATTTATTATAAGAAATTATGCTATAAAATCATTTGTAACGGGTTTTAAACAAAATTTAAACAATTTTGTATACAAATCTAAACGAATGATTTATTAAAATGCAAAAAAATATATTTATTGAATGCTTTCAAAGTAGCCCTACCTTGCATAAAACGACCATCGGAGTAGCATATAGCATTCAAACAAATTACCAAATATAGTTTAAGAATATAGTTTTAAAAGTCCAATTTATTTTAGCATTCATTCAAAAGAAGTTAAACTTGCTTTAATAATTTGTTAAGTATTTAAGATTTTATATTATCATTTCTGGACCCATTATAAGTTGTTAACGAATTTCCAAGGAGTCATAAAAAAATGGAGTTTGATAACTTACAAGTACTAACAAATGTATTAACAAAACTAGAAAGAGTTAGTTATTAAATAAATAATAAATTCCGAGTTTTAAACGTGTTTTGTTATGTTATAAGTAGTTTCGCATGTTTGTCTAAATAGCAGGAAAATCCATTGCTCTATTTAATTCAAGTGCTTTATTTTGTATTTTGAAAAATATAACAATATACAAGTATATATTTAAGTAAAAAATTTATTAAATAAATAACAAAATTGACATTTTTTTGGGAAAATCATATTTTATTTATTTGTTTGAATACCAGTAATAACCATTAAATCTTATACTATATAACGTGTGTTTCGCATTCAGAAAAAACAATCGATTTTCTTGTCTAAATAGCAGGACAATCCATTGCTCTATTTAATACAAGTGGTTTATTTTGTATTTTGAAAAATATAACAATATACAAGTATTTATTTAAGTAAAAAATGTATTAAATAAATAACAAATTTTACATTTTTTTGGGAAAATCTTATTTTATTTATTTGTTTGAATACCAGTAACAACCATTAAATCGTATATAACGTGTGTTTAGTATTCAGAAAAAACAATCGATTTTCTCAATGTATATTTCTTTTAATTGAGAAAATGATAATCGCAATAGCATGATTTAATTTACTTGATGAATGAAAAATACATATACAAGTATATGACTTCATATTTATATATTTGCATTGTTATGTGAAATGCCAGGCATTTGTGTAAATAATGGAATAAATGTAAATAATCATAATATAAAACGAAAAATGCTGTATACCAAGCAATAGTTAATCTCTTTGTTAGCTATTTGTGGTCCTGAAAAGGACCGATTATTGATTTTATAATTTGGAAAATGAAGCGCTGAAATTTCAACTTATGCACGTTCACCACGAATACGTCTGGCCAATTGAATGTCCTTGGGCATGATTGTAACACGCTTGGCATGAATTGCGCACAAATTTGTATCTTCAAAAAGACCAACCAGATAGGCTTCGCTAGCTTCCTGTAATGCCATTACCGCTGAACTTTGGAATCGCAAATCAGTTTTAAAGTCCTGAGCTATCTCACGAACCAAACGCTGGAATGGCAGTTTGCGAATCAATAGCTCAGTGCTTTTCTGGTAGCGGCGGATCTCACGAAGTGCAACTGTACCGGGGCGATAACGATGTGGCTTTTTTACACCACCGGTGGCTGGTGCACTTTTACGAGCAGCTTTGGTAGCCAGCTGCTTGCGAGGCGCTTTGCCACCGGTCGATTTTCGGGCAGTTTGCTTGGTGCGAGCCATTATACAAGTATTTATTCCGTACTAATCTACTACACTGTATACACTGTCACTGATGAAAACACAATATTCGTATTGCTTGCTTTGCGCCTTCTTTATATAGAAATTTGGCCGCACAATGCGATTGGTGGTTGTTTGAACGAGATGTGCGAAAGAGAGATAGGAAGATTATCCGACTCGCTCGTGTTTTCGTGTTATTTTTGTATAAATACGAGCGTATGTGGCCGCAACAGCGTTAGTTTCGTTGTGAATTTTGTGCAGTTAAAGTAAATTAGTGAAAAATGACTGGTCGTGGTAAAGGTGGCAAAGGCTTGGGCAAGGGTGGCGCAAAACGTCATCGCAAAGTATTGCGTGATAACATTCAGGGTATCACAAAGCCAGCTATCCGTCGTTTGGCTCGACGTGGCGGTGTAAAACGCATCTCTGGCTTAATTTATGAAGAGACCCGTGGTGTGCTCAAGGTGTTTTTGGAGAATGTTATTCGTGATGCTGTCACCTATACGGAACATGCCAAAAGGAAAACAGTCACAGCTATGGATGTTGTATATGCATTAAAAAGACAAGGCCGCACCCTTTACGGTTTCGGCGGTTAAGAAGTTACATTTGCCCAAATGTGCAAATAAAGAAAACAATCGGTCCTTTTCAGGACCACAACATATATTTTTAAAAGAGAAAAATATTCAAATCATACTTTTATTTTACAAAAAGCTGTACAATCGATACTCTTCATTTATATTTTCATAATATATTGAACCTTTTCAGGACCACAACATATTTTTTTAAAAGAGAAAAATATTCAACTCATACTTTTATTTTACATACGCATATTTAAAAAAACAAACATATTGTACAGCTTACATTCCATCCATTTATATTTTCATAATTTAGGAGTAAAATATGGCAAACGTTGGCAGTGTTAAAAATTCGAGTATAAATACTTGCACTCAAGTAATTATTATACGTATTGACCAAATTCAAAAGGGATAAAAAATACTTTCGAATTAAAAATATATAATACGCATTATATACATACAAGTAGTATATTCTACGGTTCATGACATGCTGCCCGACCAAATGCTAAGCCTTCATATTTATACTTTATTCAAATTCACGTTGTATGATGATGAATTAAAATCTCTTCTGAATTAAATTGGTCGTCCTGAAAAGGACGGTTGGTTTTATATACAGTATTGTTTTTATTTATTAAAGGTTGCCGCCAATTTAAGCCTTCTTTTCGGTCTTTTTAGGTAAAAGCACCGCCTGGATGTTAGGTAGAACACCACCCTGAGCAATGGTTACGCCCGAGAGGAGCTTGTTTAACTCCTCGTCATTACGAATAGCCAGTTGCAGGTGACGTGGAATTATGCGCGTCTTTTTATTATCGCGTGCTGCATTGCCAGCCAACTCCAGAACTTCAGCGGCTAAATATTCCATAACAGCAGCCAGGTAAACAGGAGCGCCGGCACCAACACGTTCAGCATAGTTACCCTTGCGAAGCAGGCGGTGGATACGGCCAACTGGGAATTGAAGGCCAGCTCGATTCGAACGCGACTTTGCCTTTCCCTTTACTTTACCACCTTTACCACGACCAGACATTTTCTATTTTTTTTTTTTTATTTCACAAATACACTTCTCACTGGCTCACTGGCTCACACACAAATGTTGATGTCCGACCAAGTGTTAGGCCTTTATATTTATACTTTTTTAAGCATCATATACGCTCTGCTAAGGGTTGGACGGCTTCTTATAAGTTAAACCTGAAGGCGATGTTAAACAAAAATATACAAATATGTAGCAATTCAGTGGTAGAAAAATATTGCTAAAGCAACTGTGAAGTGTTGTGTTATTTTAACTCAAGTGAATTAAATTAATCTGAAGTGAAAAATGCCGCCAAAGACCAGTGGAAAGGCAGCGAAAAAGGCTGGTAAAGCCCAGAAAAATATAACCAAGAACGACAAGAAGAAGAAGCGCAAGAGGAAGGAGAGTTATGCCATCTACATATACAAAGTTCTGAAGCAGGTTCATCCTGATACAGGCATTTCATCGAAGGCAATGAGCATCATGAACAGTTTTGTGAATGACATTTTCGAGCGCATTGCTGCTGAAGCTTCCCGTTTGGCCCACTATAATAAACGATCGACAATAACGAGTCGCGAAATCCAAACGGCAGTCCGCCTACTTCTGCCCGGTGAATTGGCTAAGCACGCCGTAAGTGAAGGCACCAAAGCCGTTACCAAGTACACCAGCTCAAAGTAAATGTCTGATCGCCCGCTTCATAGCAGCAACAACGTTCCAAAAGGCCCTTTTCAGGGCCATCAAATTTTTCATAAGCAGAGTTAATAATTTTCATACATTTCTTTTAAATAAAATTTACATGGCACCCCTTTACTGTGATAAAAAACAAAATCTATTATAATGGGCGAACATATATATTAATATAACTATTTTGGTCAATATTTATAAACAAACTATTTTTACAAATCATATCGTTCACCTATATGATATGCAGTTCTTATTGCTTGAAATCGACTGAAACAAAACAATTTTTAGTCACCCATTTTTATGAGAATCGTGGAGGAGGACCGGACCGTATACAATTCCATTGTATTTGCATCAGCTAAGTTTATCGTAATTTGCTTCGAAAAATGATTAAATTATTTATTAATTTTATTAATATACGTTTTTTTTTAAACTTTTGTGCTCAAAGTGAAACATTTTTCAATTCTCATTATTTTTGTTACAAAATTAACTAACAAATTATGGTCTAAAACCCTTTGTAACAGTTTTAAACAAAAATTGTTAAATTTTTCATACATATACTTGTACACCTAGAAGTAATAACAAATATATTAACAAAATTAGAAAAAGATAAGATTATTTGAAACCATTTAAATCACATTTGAAAATTATTTTTTCTCTTTCTTAGTTGTTTGTAGCCCTGAAAAGGGCTTTGTTTCAAATGAATTTTTATATTTGCATATACAAAATTTCACATATGCATTCATTTCTTGACTACTGCTGTCTTTGCCTTTTTGGCGGAAGCTGCAGCCTTTGGTTTTTTCGGTGCCGATGCTGTCTTCTTTGGCTTGGCACTAGTAGTAGTAGTTTTGGCCTTTGGAGTTTTTGGTTTTACAGCACTCGATTTAGGCTTCGATGTAGTTGATTTTGCCTTAACTGTACCACTTTTCTTTGCGTCTTTTGCCTTTGCCTTCTCCTTTGTCTTTTTCTCGGCAGTCTTTTTAGTGGCAACAGATTTTTTAACTTTAGATTTCTTGTCACCGGCTGCAGAGGCCTTCTTGGCGACGCCGCTCGACTTCTTTTTAGCTGCTCCAGATGGTGCAACTTTTTTCTTACTTTTCTCGACGGAACTGACTTTTGGCTTTGGCTCTTTTTTAGCGGCCGCAGATAATTTAAACGAACCAGATGCGCCTTTGCCTTTTGTTTGGATGAGTTTTCCATTTGCAACAGCTGACTTCAAATATTTCTTAATGAACGGGGCCAATTTCTGGGCATCGCATTTATATGTGGCACTAATGTACTTTTTAATTGCCAAAAGTGATGACCCACCGCGCTCCTTCAAATTCTTGATTGACGCGTCGACCATTTGCTGGGTTGGCGGATGTGATGGTGGAGCTGTAGCTTTTTTCGATTTGGCGGCAGTTGCCTTCTTGACAGTGACCTTTTTCTCCGCTTGTGCAATGGCAATCGGAGAGGCGGCCGATGTAACAGCAACGATAGAATCAGACATTTCTTTTAACTTCACTTTCACACTTGTAAAATTATAAAACGGTTTGCTTTCAGAAATTTTACGAATTTTTAGTCACCCATTTTTATGAGAATCGTGGAGGAGGGCGGTATACAAATGAATGTGGCATTGGTCGTTCTCGACAGCTAAGTTTATGGCAATCTAAAAGGTAATTTGCTTCGAAAAATGATTAGATGTAAAAAAAATCATTTGAAATGCAATTTAATAATATCTATAAGCTTGACAGAGTTTAATAAACTTAAGTTTGTGTTGATACTTTTGTGAGTTCATTTTTAAATGGCACTCAAAGTGAAACATTATTCTTTAATGGTCAATAATTTTGCTTACAAAATGAATTTATTATAAGAAATTATGCTATAAAATCATTTGTAACGGGTTTTAAACAAAATTTAAACAATTTTGTATACAAATCTAAACGAATGATTTATTAAAATGCAAAAAAATATATTTATTGAATGCTTTCAAAGTAGCCCTACCTTGCATAAAACGACCATCGGAGTAGCATATAGCATTCAAACAAATTACCAAATATAGTTTAAGAATATAGTTTTAAAAGTCCAATTTATTTTAGCATTCATTCAAAAGAAGTTAAACTTGCTTTAATAATTTGTTAAGTATTTAAGATTTTATATTATCATTTCTGGACCCATTATAAGTTGTTAACGAATTTCCAAGGAGTCATAAAAAAATGGAGTTTGATAACTTACAAGTACTAACAAATGTATTAACAAAACTAGAAAGAGTTAGTTATTAAATAAATAATAAATTCCGAGTTTTAAACGTGTTTTGTTATGTTATAAGTAGTTTCGCATGTTTGTCTAAATAGCAGGAAAATCCATTGCTCTATTTAATTCAAGTGCTTTATTTTGTATTTTGAAAAATATAACAATATACAAGTATATATTTAAGTAAAAAATTTATTAAATAAATAACAAAATTGACATTTTTTTGGGAAAATCATATTTTATTTATTTGTTTGAATACCAGTAATAACCATTAAATCTTATACTATATAACGTGTGTTTCGCATTCAGAAAAAACAATCGATTTTCTTGTCTAAATAGCAGGACAATCCATTGCTCTATTTAATACAAGTGGTTTATTTTGTATTTTGAAAAATATAACAATATACAAGTATTTATTTAAGTAAAAAATGTATTAAATAAATAACAAATTTTACATTTTTTTGGGAAAATCTTATTTTATTTATTTGTTTGAATACCAGTAACAACCATTAAATCGTATATAACGTGTGTTTAGTATTCAGAAAAAACAATCGATTTTCTCAATGTATATTTCTTTTAATTGAGAAAATGATAATCGCAATAGCATGATTTAATTTACTTGATGAATGAAAAATACATATACAAGTATATGACTTCATATTTATATATTTGCATTGTTATGTGAAATGCCAGGCATTTGTGTAAATAATGGAATAAATGTAAATAATCATAATATAAAACGAAAAATGCTGTATACCAAGCAATAGTTAATCTCTTTGTTAGCTATTTGTGGTCCTGAAAAGGACCGATTATTGATTTTATAATTTGGAAAATGAAGCGCTGAAATTTCAACTTATGCACGTTCACCACGAATACGTCTGGCCAATTGAATGTCCTTGGGCATGATTGTAACACGCTTGGCATGAATTGCGCACAAATTTGTATCTTCAAAAAGACCAACCAGATAGGCTTCGCTAGCTTCCTGTAATGCCATTACCGCTGAACTTTGGAATCGCAAATCAGTTTTAAAGTCCTGAGCTATCTCACGAACCAAACGCTGGAATGGCAGTTTGCGAATCAATAGCTCAGTGCTTTTTTGGTAGCGGCGGATCTCACGAAGTGCAACTGTACCGGGGCGATAACGATGTGGCTTTTTTACACCACCGGTGGCTGGTGCACTTTTACGAGCAGCTTTGGTAGCCAGCTGCTTGCGAGGCGCTTTGCCACCGGTCGATTTTCGGGCAGTTTGCTTGGTGCGAGCCATTATACAAGTATTTATTCCGTACTAATCTACTACACTGTATACACTGTCACTGATGAAAACACAATATTCGTATTGCTTGCTTTGCGCCTTCTTTATATAGAAATTTGGCCGCACAATGCGATTGGTGGTTGTTTGAACGAGATGTGCGAAAGAGAGATAGGAAGATTATCCGACTCGCTCGTGTTTTCGTGTTATTTTTGTATAAATACGAGCGTATGTGGCCGCAACAGCGTTAGTTTCGTTGTGAATTTTGTGCAGTTAAAGTGAATTAGTGAGAAATGACTGGTCGTGGTAAAGGTGGCAAAGGCTTGGGCAAGGGTGGCGCAAAACGTCATCGCAAAGTATTGCGTGATAACATTCAGGGTATCACAAAGCCAGCTATCCGTCGTTTGGCTCGACGTGGCGGTGTAAAACGCATCTCTGGCTTAATTTATGAAGAGACCCGTGGTGTGCTCAAGGTGTTTTTGGAGAATGTTATTCGTGATGCTGTCACCTATACGGAACATGCCAAAAGGAAAACAGTCACAGCTATGGATGTTGTATATGCATTAAAAAGACAAGGCCGCACCCTTTACGGTTTCGGCGGTTAAGAAGTTACATTTGCCCAAATGTGCAAATAAAGAAAACAATCGGTCCTTTTCAGGACCACAACATATATTTTTAAAAGAGAAAAATATTCAAATCATACTTTTATTTTACAAAAAGCTGTACAATCGATACTCTTCATTTATATTTTCATAATATATTGAACCTTTTCAGGACCACAACATATTTTTTTAAAAGAGAAAAATATTCAACTCATACTTTTATTTTACATACGCATATTTAAAAAAACAAACATATTGTACAGCTTACATTCCATCCATTTATATTTTCATAATTTAGGAGTAAAATATGGCAAACGTTGGCAGTGTTAAAAATTCGAGTATAAATACTTGCACTCAAGTAATTATTATACGTATTGACCAAATTCAAAAGGGATAAAAAATACTTTCGAATTAAAAATATATAATACGCATTATATACATACAAGTAGTATATTCTACGGTTCATGACATGCTGCCCGACCAAATGCTAAGCCTTCATATTTATACTTTATTCAAATTCACGTTGTATGATGATGAATTAAAATCTCTTCTGAATTAAATTGGTCGTCCTGAAAAGGACGGTTGGTTTTATATACAGTATTGTTTTTATTTATTAAAGGTTGCCGCCAATTTAAGCCTTCTTTTCGGTCTTTTTAGGTAAAAGCACCGCCTGGATGTTAGGTAGAACACCACCCTGAGCAATGGTTACGCCCGAGAGGAGCTTGTTTAACTCCTCGTCATTACGAATAGCCAGTTGCAGGTGACGTGGAATTATGCGCGTCTTTTTATTATCGCGTGCTGCATTGCCAGCCAACTCCAGAACTTCAGCGGCTAAATATTCCATAACAGCAGCCAGGTAAACAGGAGCGCCGGCACCAACACGTTCAGCATAGTTACCCTTGCGAAGCAGGCGGTGGATACGGCCAACTGGGAATTGAAGGCCAGCTCGATTCGAACGCGACTTTGCCTTTCCCTTTACTTTACCACCTTTACCACGACCAGACATTTTCTATTTTTTTTTTTTTTATTTCACAAATACACTTCTCACTGGCTCACTGGCTCACACACAAATGTTGATGTCCGACCAAGTGTTAGGCCTTTATATTTATACTTTTTTAAGCATCATATACGCTCTGCTAAGGGTTGGACGGCTTCTTATAAGTTAAACCTGAAGGCGATGTTAAACAAAAATATACAAATATGTAGCAATTCAGTGGTAGAAAAATATTGCTAAAGCAACTGTGAAGTGTTGTGTTATTTTAACTCAAGTGAATTAAATTAATCTGAAGTGAAAAATGCCGCCAAAGACCAGTGGAAAGGCAGCGAAAAAGGCTGGTAAAGCCCAGAAAAATATAACCAAGAACGACAAGAAGAAGAAGCGCAAGAGGAAGGAGAGTTATGCCATCTACATATACAAAGTTCTGAAGCAGGTTCATCCTGATACAGGCATTTCATCGAAGGCAATGAGCATCATGAACAGTTTTGTGAATGACATTTTCGAGCGCATTGCTGCTGAAGCTTCCCGTTTGGCCCACTATAATAAACGATCGACAATAACGAGTCGCGAAATCCAAACGGCAGTCCGCCTACTTCTGCCCGGTGAATTGGCTAAGCACGCCGTAAGTGAAGGCACCAAAGCCGTTACCAAGTACACCAGCTCAAAGTAAATGTCTGATCGCCCGCTTCATAGCAGCAACAACGTTCCAAAAGGCCCTTTTCAGGGCCATCAAATTTTTCATAAGCAGAGTTAATAATTTTCATACATTTCTTTTAAATAAAATTTACATGGCACCCCTTTACTGTGATAAAAAACAAATCTATTATAATGGGCGAACATATATATTAATATAACTATTTTGGTCAATATTTATAAACAAACTATTTTTACAAATCATATCGTTCACCTATATGATATGCAGTTCTTATTGCTTGAAATCGACTGAAACAAAACAATTTTTAGTCACCCATTTTTATGAGAATCGTGGAGGAGGACCGGACCGTATACAATTCCATTGTATTTGCATCAGCTAAGTTTATCGTAATTTGCTTCGAAAAATGATTAAATTATTTATTAATTTTATTAATATACGTTTTTTTTAAACTTTTGTGCTCAAAGTGAAACATTTTTCAATTCTCATTATTTTTGTTACAAAATTAACTAACAAATTATGGTCTAAAACCCTTGTAACAGTTTTTAAACAAAAATTGTTAAATTTTTCATACATATACTTGTACACCTAGAAGTAATAACAAATATATTAACAAAATTAGAAAAAGATAAGATTATTTGAAACCATTTAAATCACATTTGAAATTATTTTTTCTCTTTCTTAGTTGTTTGTAGCCCTGAAAAGGGCTTTGTTTCAAATGAATTTTTATATTTGCATATACAAAATTTCACATATGCATTCATTTCTTGACTACTGCTGTCTTTGCCTTTTTGGCGGGGAAGCTGCAGCCTTTGGTTTTTTCGGTGCCGATGCTGTCTTCTTTGGCTTGGCACTAGTAGTAGTAGTTTTGGCCTTTGGAGTTTTTGGTTTTACAGCACTCGATTTAGGCTTCGATGTAGTTGATTTTGCCCTTAACTGTACCACTTTTCTTTGCGTCTTTTGCCTTTGCCTTCTCCTTTGTCTTTTTCTCTGCAGTCTTTTTAGTGGCAACAGATTTTTTAACTTTAGATTTCTTGTCACCGGCTGCAGAGGCCTTCTTGGCGACGCCGCTCGACTTCTTTTTAGCTGCTCCAGATGGGTGCAACTTTTTTCTTACTTTTCTCGACGGAACTGACTTTTGGCTTTGGCTCTTTTTTAGCGGCCGCAGATAATTAAACGAACCAGATGCGCTTTGCCTTTTGTTTGGATGAGTTTCCATTTGCAACAGCTGACTTCAAATATTTCTTAATGAACGGGGCCAATTTCTGGGCATCGCATATATGTGGCACTAATGTACTTTTAATTGCCAAAAGTGATGACCCCCGCGCTCCTTCAAATTTGATTGACGCGTCGACCATTTGCTGGGTTGGCGGATGTGATGGTGGAGCTGTAGCTTTTTCGATTTGGCAGCAGTTGCCTTCTTGACAGTGACCTTTTCTCCGCTTGTGCAATGGCAATCGGAGAGGCGGCCGATGTAACAGCAACGATAGAATCAGACATTTCTTTTAACTTCACTTTCACACTTGTAAATTATAAAACGGTTTGCTTTCAGAAATTTTACGAATTTTTAGTCACCATTTATGAGAATCGTGGAGGAGGGCGGTATACAAATGAATGTGGCATTGGTCGTTCTCGACAGCTAAGTTTATGGCAATCTAAAAGGTAATTTGCTTCGAAAAATGATTAGATGTAAAAAAAATCATTTGAAATGCAATTTAATAATATCTATAAGCTTGACAGAGTTTAATAAACTTAAGTTTGTGTTGATACTTTGTGAGTTATTTTAAATGGCACTCAAAGTGAAACATTATTCTTTAATGGTCAATAATTTTGCTTACAAAATGATTTATTATAAGAAATTATGCTATAAAATCATTGTAACGGGTTTTAAACAAAATTTAAACAATTTTGTATACAAATCTAAACGAATGATTTATTAAAATGCAAAAAAATTATATTTATTGAATGCTTTCAAGTAGCCCTACCTTGCATAAAACGACCATCGGAGTAGCATATAGCATTCAAACAATTACCAAATATAGTTTAAGAATATAGTTTTAAAAGTCCAATTTATTTTAGCATTCATTCAAAAGAAGTTAAACTTGCTTTAATAATTTGTTAAGTATTTAAGATTTTATAATCATTTCTGGACCCATTATAAGTTGTTAACGAATTTCCAAGGAGTCATAAAAAAATGGAGTGTGTTTGATAACTTACAAGTACTAACAAATGTATTAACAAAACTAGAAAGAGTTAGTTATTAAATAAATAATAAATTCCGAGTTTTAAACGTGTTTGTTATGTTATAAGTAGTTTCGCATGTTTGTCTAAATAGCAGGAAAATCCATGCTCTATTTAATTCAAGTGCTTTATTTTGTATTTTGAAAAATATAACAATATACAAGTATATATTAGTAAAAAATTTATTAAATAAATAACAAAATTGACATTTTTTTGGGAAAATTATTTTATTATTTGTTTTTGAATACCAGTAATAACCATTAAATCTTATACTATATAACGGTGTGTTTCGCATTCAGAAAAAAACAATCGATTTTCTTGTCTAAATAGCAGGACAATCCATTGCTCTATTTAATACAAGTGGTTTATTTTGTATTTTGAAAAATATAACAATATACAAGTATTTATTTAAGTAAAAATGTATTAAATAAATAACAAATTTTACATTTTTTGGGAAACTCTTATTTTATTTATTTGTTGAATACCAGTAACAACCATTAAATCGATATAACGTGTGTGTGTTTAGTATTCAGAAAAACATCGATTTTCTCAATGTATATTTCTTTTAATTGAGAAAATGATAATCGCAATAGCATGATTTAATTTACTTGATGAATGAAAATACATATACAAGTATATGACTTCATATTATATATTTGCATTGTTATGTGAAATGCCAGGCATTTGTGTAAATAATGGAATAAATGTAATAATCATAATATAAAAACGAAAAATGCTGTATACCAAGCAATAGTTAATCTCTTTGTTAGCTATTTGTGGTCCTGAAAAGGACCGATTATTGATTTATAATTTGGACAAATGAAGCGCTGAAATTTCAACTTATGCACGTTCACCACGAATACGTCTGGCAAATGAATGTCCTTGGGCATGATTGTAACACGCTTGGCATGAATTGCGCACAAAATTGTATCTTCAAAAAGACCAACCAGATAGGCTTCGCTAGCTTCCTGTAATGCCATTACCGCTGAACTTTGGAATCGCAAATCAGTTTTAAAGTCTGAGCATCTCACGAACCAAACGCTGGAATGGCAGTTGCGATCAATAGCTCAGTGCTTTTTGGTAGCGGCGGATCTCACGAAGTGCAACTGTACCGGGGCGATAACGATGTGGCTTTTTTACACCACCGGTGGCTGGTGCACTTTTAC